AAAAAGAAGAGTGGAGAATGACAATAACTTCGGGAATAAAAAAAGGAACTGAATAGGTGAGATGCAGTCTGTTCTGTACTGCTCTCCCTGATGAGGCAGGAAAAGAACTGAGGAAATAGGTGACTTCCACAGCAGAGACAGGAAGCGGAAAGAATTTGTTCCTGCCTCCCTGCATGGAGGCTGGGAATCAACCAACATGATGTCCTCCGCCTCAGAGGGAGAAGTCATAGCAGTTACCTGGCTCTTGCTCAAACTGGAATTCACAGCTCCCTTGCTCTATGGAGAACAAAATAAAGAAAACTTTTTAGCCTTTGTATTAGTAGATTCATTTTAATTTTAGAAATCACAACAGGAGGAAAATCAAGAGAAGATGAACTGCACAGAACTTTTTTCTACAGCTGGAAAGATTTTAGACAGGGTTTGTTCATAATATTAGGCTCCTGAAGAATCCCTTTTGCAATGGACTAGGTTTGCTAAATGCCTGAAGAAAAACAAAAGTCCTGTCCTGTCAATAGAAGCTTAATGGGATGTTATTTATGAAGTGATATTATTTACCTCCCTGCCATGGAAAACTTCATCTGCCTATTTCCACACATTAAACCTCTATTAATGAGAAAAAATAGTTTCTCCACCAAACATTTGGTAACCCTACAGTGGACATATCACCTGGTCCTCTGAGGGTTTCTCACAAAGATGATAATTGGCAGAATTTAGCTCTCGAAGGTCCATCTTTTCTTAGGGATGTTTGCTTAGCATGTGTGTGAGGGTGCAGTCAGTTCTGGACTTGAGGGCCGAGTAGGCAGTGTCCTGGGGGCTCACAACCAGGCCCTGTCTTCCACCTCCCTTCTCACCCACCTGCATACCCCCCCCAATTGCTTGTGTGTCCTTCCTCCTCCCACTTGTGAGCTCTCCTACCACCCTCAGTCACAGGTACCCACACACCCTTTCCAATGCTCCCTCTAAGCTGTGGAGCCTTGGAAGCAAAAATTTTACTTTGTGAACTACTGGCATTAACGTTGTGAGTGAGGGATTTGGCTACTACATAAATTAGTTTGCTCTGGAGCCATCCTTCCTGAGTTAAGACAAAAATGTGTGAGCCGGAGACTAAAAAACTGTGAGCTAGCTCACACTAGCTCAGCTTAGAGGGAACACCGACCCTTTCCCCAGTAGTGCCAGGCAGTGAACAGCTGAGACACATGAACATGAATGCATAAAGCTGCCTGATACTGAATCAGACCACTGATCCATCAAAGTCAGTATCATCTACTCAGACAGGCAGCAGCTCTCCAGGATCTCAGGTAGAAATCATTCACATCAGTTATTAAATGACCATTTTGACTAGAGGGCACACTTGTAGGTTGTAGGGCAAGCATGTGGGCCAGAGGTTGGCAGCAATGGGCCCCACGAGAAGCCCTGGGTCCCTGTAGTTGCCCCCACCTTGGGGTATGTGATACTTGGCCCTATTGTGCGTGTTAGAACTTCACTCAGTGTGCCAGATTGCCACAGGAAGTCCACATGCATTGAACCTTGCCTGTCCACACACAGCAGACAAGGAGAAGGAGCCACTTGGAATGCACAGACCCCATAACACATCAGCTCTTTTTTTCACAGATAAAGGGAGGGGCTGTGGCTCAATGGCAGAGCATCTGCTTGGCATGTAGAAGGTCCCACTGTTCAACCTCTGGCATGATGTGAAAGACTTCTGCCTGAGACCTTGGAGAGCTGCTGCCAGTCAGAGTAGACAATACTGACTTTGATAGACCAAGGGTCCGATTCAATATAAGGCAGCTTCATGTCCCTGTTATTTTAAGTATGTGCCAAAATACTGAACTGAGGGCAAAAAAGGCTCCAACATGGGTATACCCTAAGAAATCATGGGTATTTCCCTTCTTTTTTTGCATGACCTTGAAAGAATTGCAGGGCTGAGACTAGTTTTGAGCAAGGAAAAAACATCGGTTGTGCTCAGCAGTGGCAGAAACTTATAGAAGACAGTCTATACTGATGTGCAGTGGTGCAGAAACAAGTACCACATAATATTTGCCAGGTGCTCATGTAGAACAAGGGCTTATTATTTCCTTCTCGGTTTTTAGACCAAATAGAGAGGCAAATACAGTATATAAAGGCAGAAAGGAAATTTCGTGTGATTCACTTATGGTCACTTTAAGAAACAAACACAAAAGAGTCATTTCCGAGTCAGAGGCTTATAAAACAGGCTTAGGACTCATTTGTGCTGTCAGCAGCTTCCTCTTCAGTCCTTAGAGGGGCCGTTTCAGGCCCATCCTGCATCAGTTTTGTGTTCTGGATATTGCTCTCCTTACTTTCTTTCCTTAGGTATTCATCATTCTTCTTTGCCACTTCACATTTTTTCCTTTTCTCCTCTTTTGCAAGCATCCTGTAATTGTAGTAATTCATGACGAACAGAAACAATCCAGCCAAGACCATCACGATGCCGCATTTAATGAACATGAATTTATAGTCCCCAGAAACATCAATAATGGTCCCTGTGAATGGAGAAAGAGAAACGTTGATGTAGAAGGAGTTGTTGGTAAGTTATGTCTGTCCTATGACTAAAGAAATCTTAGAACGTAAGTACACATTATGCTAGAGTTTTGTGACTACAACTTGAGACACAAGGTCATTTTTTGGAGAACAAAAGGTACTTCTGCCGGCTGAACAGAAAGTTCCCATCTCCTCTCTCTTGCCACAGCCCACTGAGGCCCATGAAACAGGGTTCCTTGGGGCACAGAAGACCCCAAGGAAGAGCATGGGGGCAAAATAGGAGTCTGCAAGGGGGGGGAGGAATCTGTAAAAGTTCTGCCCTTTCACTGGTGGACAATGACCTTTGGATTCAGCCCATTGCTGTGCAAAAAAAGTAACCACCGGGGGGGGGGTCTAATGCAGGTCAGAGCCATAGTTCTGAAGAAAGGGGACCTAACCTTTCCTCCTTGCCGTGATTTTCTGATCAAAAATGCTTTCCTCAGCTGTAGGGGGGGGGGGGAACAGGCACAGTATAAGTACCTATATCTTCTTTTCCTAGGCCTTAAAACAACCCAGGGCACAATTTCAATGGTTAACTAGACAAAGGTTTTTATCCCCTTCTTCCCCCAGCGCCAGGGCCCTGATCCAAGCTTGGCCTCCTGTTTTTTATGGCCAAATAACAAGTCCAGAAATTTAATCATGGAACTACCGCACCACAGTCAGACTCCTTGAGTACAGTCCTAAGCCAACAGGTTTCGAAGGGCATCACTGTATTTAGGATTCTATGGTCAGTCAATTAATCTGTGTTTTATGACAAACTACATTAACCAAAGACTGAAAGATGAATCTGAAACAAATGATGAGTTTTCTATGGCTATTATAACCAATCTCTCTAGTTATACATCTGAAAGATTTATTAGTATATGATAATACTATAAGACAGTTCTAATATGAAATAGAAAGAATAGTAGTTTGTTGTGTGAAATCTTATAAAAATTTCTATGAGGTTATTTATGTTATCCTATATAATCAATATGATAAAATGATAATATAGTATGAGAAAATGGCAGAATAGACCAAGTAGGTCATTATACAGACTTCTTAATATGTCATATATATTTTAAGCTATATGCTTAAACTATATTATGCCATATATATCGTGCTATACATTTGTTAAGCTATTATACCATATACTTATATATATCTACATATATATTCTGAAAAAGGATTATCTTCAATATCTGTTTAATTGCACTTACATTATGTTTTTGGTAATTATATTTCCTATGTGTTTTTTCCTTAAAAATTAATCTGTCTTTTGGTCAATTAAATGATTTAATCTATATAAATTTGCATGTGACCAAACCAATAGTCCTGTGGGAAAGCAAACATATGCTTTTTATGTGGGAATGCCTCCTCTATGGCAGTGCTACCACCAACCCTTTTTCTTAGTTCTGGTATCAAAATTATCTTTAATTTTGTTGTTAAAATCTTCCTGTTTAATAAAGTAATTATTTTACTGATGCCCTGCCTATCTCCCCAATGGGGACCCAAAGTGATTTATATAGGGTTGCCAGGCCCTACCTGGCTGCCAGCAGGGGGATCCAGATGTCATCAAGTCAAGGGGTGACACTCTAGTTTTGGTGCAAAACTCTATGGGGTTTTTTGCCTTCAAAACCATAGCATTTGCACAAAAACTAGAGCATCGCCCCAACATGATGACATCACTTCTGGGTGATGTCACCGGGATGTTGCCCCGTGACGACCCTATTTCGGGGTGGAGCTTCTGCAGATTGGAGCCCCCAAAAGTGGAATCCCCACTAGGAACTGGGAGCTGGCAACCCTAGGTGTAGTGGTTAAGTGCACAGATTCTAATCTGGGAGAATCGGGTTTGATTCCCCACTCCTCCACCTACTGGATGACCTTGGGCAAGCCATAGTTCTGGCACAGCTGTTCTTGAAAAAGAGCAGCTTCTGTCAGTGCTCTCTCAGCCCCATCTACCTCACAGGGTGTCTGTTGTGGGGTGGGGAAGGGAAAGGAGTTTGTAAGCCACTCTGAGACTCCTTTGGGTAGTGAAGGGTGGGGTATAAATCCAATCTCCTCCTCCTATATCATTCTCCTTTTCTCCACTTAATCCTTACAATAATCTTATGCAATGCTCCCTCTAAGGTGTAGAGACTTGAGAGCAAAAAATTCTACTTTGTGAGCTCCTGGCATTAAAGTTGTGAGCAAGCGATTTGGCTACTGCATAAATTAGTTTGCTCTGGAGTCTCCTTCCTGAGCTAAGACAGAAACATGAGCTGGAGGCTAAAAACCTGTGAGCTAGCTCACACTAACTCAGCTTAGAAGGAACACTGATCTTGTGAGGTAAGTTAGGCTGAGAGTGTGTGACTGGCCTACCCAGTCAGATAATTGATGAAAAGACTCCCAGCTGTAGTTGATGTAAAGAGAAGGCAAGCTGGAAAAGGGATGCTGACAAATGAAATAAACCAATCAAAATACAACCACTATAAGTCAATAATGCAAACAAAGACAAATATATTGCATATGAATATCAGGAAGGCAATATAAAGACACGAGTAAACAAGGAACATAAAGTATCAAATTATGAACATACACAAGGTATCAGTGTATAAATAAGGTACGAGGTATCAGTGTATATATAAAGTTACGAAGACTCTGGAATGATACTCTGTTTCATAGATCACCTTCTTCAGAAGCAAAATTCATTACATCACGTAAACTGTTGTCTGTTCCTTCTTTTTATTCACTTGGTAAATGGGTCTGTTTCTTTAATATAAATAACCAATATCCTAATTATCGTAGCGTGTCAAGAAGAGAATAAATCACCAGTCAGCAAACTTCTTAACAGGCACCAGTCAAGCAGCAAAAAGCATTCGGACACTGGTGTAATACACACACACACATATATGTATGCAATATATTTGTCTTTGTTTGCATTATTGACTTATAGTGGTTGTATTTTGATTGCTTTATTTCATTTGTCAGTGTCCCTTTCCCAGCTTGCCTTGTCTTTACATCTACCCACTGAGGTTCCACGGCAGAGTGGGGATTTAAACCTGGGTGTCCCAAATCCTAGTACAACACTCTGTTACACCACATCGGCTACAAATGGATTTTAATCAATCTACCTGTTAATTGACCAATGTCTAGCTTACCACACACAACTGCAAAAGAAAGCCACTGTGAGCATGGAGCTGTAGGTTCCAGACTTTAACTAGTATACCTATTAAAATCGGGGGACGAAATCCAGAGAGTAGAAAGTATTCATTATCATTCAATGTCTCTTCCAAATTAATGATGTGCTACCACTGATTTACATTCCCAAATGGTACTGTATGTTATTTCAAAATGCCAAATTGAAATTTATTCTCCATAATGTTTCTCTGGAACAAAACCCGAGAAAGGACTGTAGGCTTATATTCAAAGATTGGTAATGCTACATGGATGTCAGTTTTCTGATGTCTTTGTTGCTCTCCTCTGCATCGGGCTCCATTCCGTCCACATCTTTTTTGAAGTGAGGCCAGTAAGCACTGCACACAGTAATCCAGGGGTGGACTGATCAATGCAGTGTACAGCAAGACCATGATGTCTTGCTATTTGGATGCTATGCCTTTGTTGATACACCCCAAAACCACATTAGCCTTTTTTCCACTGCATCACACTGGATTTAGATTACAGTCTACCTGTATGCCATTATCTTGTTAACACACACTGCTACCTAGAAGTGTGTCCTCCATCCAGACCTCTGCATTTATCCTTGATGAACCGCATCTTCTGCACATCTTCCCACTTCTCCAGTGTGTTCAAATCTCAGTGAATTCCATATCTTCCAGTGTGTTTGCTACTTTCCCCAATTTGATGTCATATGCAAATTTAATAAGTAGTCCCATCAGCTCCTCATCCAGATCATTTATAAAAAAAGATGTGTTACACAGCAGGCAGAGAAAACCAGTATAACATAAAGTGAAAGAAGTGTTGCGTTGCTCAGCAAGGCTTTGAACCTAGGTCACTTAAGTATCGGTACAAAAGCATATGCACTGGATTTGAAAAGGTAGCCATTTAAACATAAAGGCAAAAGAAGTAATGGTAAATTTGCAACTCTTAGACTGAAATCAGGGCAGTGTTTGGGGCATTTTTTTTTGTTTGCTCTGCATGCATTAACACCTTCCAATTAACATGTCACTGATGCGTTGTTTGGCCCTCTGGAACTATTTTCTTCTCCTCCACATGTAGTGCCTCTAATGACCTCTTCAGTGACAACCTATTGAACATGTGGTGATTAATTATCCCAATGTCTACTCCTGTGAACTAGGAACTTTATACAAAAGGAGGAAAGTGGGCTGCACTTGGGAGGAAAAAGGAGATAATTTCACACACTCCGACTGAAAAATATTGTTGTTGCTCCTAGAGCAACCTGATCTACATCCATGATTTCATATAGCCCTATTAATGGAACATCAACCAGAGGCTAATAACCACAATTCTCACTTTCTGCTAATCAAGATGACCTGGAGGTCTGCAAAATACATTTCACAGAGAGTTTTAATGAGGAGAATATTGGGAAATTCAACAGCAAAAGTGCCCTGCCACTTCTCCCTTTGAGAATAAGACAAAGTCATAAAACATACCAGGAACAATTTACTTAGATCATTAAAGCAAAGCCCAGTCGTGGGTTATTAAATGCCAAAGAACCAATCAATTTACTGTTTATTAAAATGGAGGAAGGAATGCTCACAGAACTCATATTGCAAACTATTATACAGCACTTTCTGGCCTCATTACCAATCTTTAGCAATTAGCCTCATCTGCTTCATAAAATGGTATACAAACTTGGGAAAGGGCTTATGTGCAGGTTATGTGCAGGTGTTCTTTTTATAGAGGGTGTCAAAAAGGAGGTCAATTGATCTTGAAAGTAAGAGGGGCTGAACAATAAAATGTTGGCCTGCATTTTTACAAGTCCTATGGAATTCAATATGTTTGGTTCATTTAGCCTCTTCTG